TGAAAGACACACGCTCGTTTAGAGCTCGAGAATTATTAGTGTTTTCGGGCTTACCAGGAAGGTCTTTCAGGGCGTGCCAAGCTTTTTGAAAACGGTCTTTTGCATGATATAGGGGCACATGCGGGAACCACAGAACCATGGTTAATTTTTCCTGAACGGCCCTCTGAATACCAGAAAAGGGGTCCCTAGTTCGATTCCTCGTGGTGACAAATTTTTGCATTTCGAGTTGACGTTCCAAAATTCGCGCAAAATGGAGTTAGCATGAATAATTAGTACCATATTCATGATTAGGACCGTCAGTAACCCCTTACAAATAGACTTTGATTAAAAAACTGGTGAAAAAGGTGTGACACCACAGTGGGGCTGCTTGGTGTCACACCTCTTACACCAATTTTTAAGTCAAAGTCTTTTTGTAAGGGTTACTGACGGTCCTAATCATGAATATGGTACTAATTATTCATGCTAACTCCATTTTGCGCGAATTTTGGAACGTCAACTCGAAATGCAAAAATTTGTCACCACGAGGAATCGAACTAGGGACCCCCTTTTCTGGTATTCAGAGGGCCGTTCAGGAAAAATTAACCATGGTTCTGTGGTTCCCGCATGTGCCCCTATATCATGCAAAAGACCGTTTTCAAAAAGCTTGGCACGCCCTGAAAGACCTTCCTGGTAAGCCCATGAAAACGACTAGTAATTCTCGAGCTCTAAACGAGCGTGTGTCTTTCACCACGACTCTTCGCCACATATGGGTGTTGTAGATACGATAACGTGAAACACTTACGCAAAGTACTTTCCGCTAATTCCATCCACACCCTCGCTGAGAGCCAAGTAAAGCGAAGTCTGCGCTCCGTCACTATCCGTTTTCAGGAAAAACCATCTGAATTGTGAAAGAATTTTGAAAACACCAAAGGGCAGCAGTTATGGCATAAAAAATTCTAGAGACATAGTAAAATCAAGAAGCGTGTAAAATCAGACCTGAATGGGGCGCTGAGTTGAAGAAGAGGCGTTTTGTTGAGAAGCGTAAATCGATACAGATTGCTGTTCATTAAACCTGGGTGCAACGAATTCGCAGTGACATTGTGGATGCCGAGTTCATGAAGACGTCGGGTCAAGGCGCGAGCATGCATAACCTGAAATCGCTTACAACTAGATACACATTCGCCCAATGAGGAGCTGTCGGGGAAGTTCGAACATAGAACGCTTATCATTTTTCTGGATAAAAAGGCTGAAGACCTTTCGAAACACTCCTCTAACACCTGTGATTCGAAATACAACTCACATTGGCGAGCTTGCTACGATTGTACTGCGCAAGGCCAATAAAGCCGTACTTCTTCGCATCGTCAATGGTTTCCAGATCTAACGATTTACTGTAGAGATGCATTATCGAGGCGACATTCACAATTCTTGCTTTCTCGGCTTTCTCCAGTGCAGGTAGAAGTAAATGAGTCAGTAGAAAATGACCTGAAGAAATCGTGTTCAATATCAACGAGACAAAACTAGCTTCTGAGCCAGTCTACATGCTACATTTATCTTCCAGTTTGATAAGGCTAGAATTACTCAGGAACAACAAAACCTGCACAAATCAGCGCCACTTACCGAGATAATTGCTTTGCCAGGTCATCTCATGTCCATCGACCGTTTTCTCATACCTGGGGTAGAACATGACCCCACCATTGTTGATAAGAATGTCGATCTTATCCTCTTCTGAAATATATTTATACCTCTTGACTTCAGGTAATTTCATGGCCGAGCACATCTGAGAATCGCATAACTTGAAGACTCCAGACCTCATTCTTAAAACCCATTTAGATTTATGAAAAATTTCAGCAAAAGCTGAAAAAATAGTTTTGGTCTCATAACCCCGCTGAAACCACTATCATGGCATTATATTTGGACCTACCTTTCAAAATTTCGCTCGCGCACTCCCTGATGCTGCTGAAGTCTGCCAAGTCGCATCGGACAGTTATGAGCAGCGTGGCGTCGCAACCCATCTGAAAACAGCGATGTTTGTTGTGCGCTAGTGTTGGCCGCATCGTGAAATGGAATGGAAAATTTGTTGGAAACTTGCTCATTGGCACTTCCTAACAGCGTCCTTCCGAACATTGTTCCCTATGAAACAACTGCACCTTCAAAAGGTATTTTTCAAATATTTGTTCTACGTATCACTGCTACCGCTCACCTTTTCCACGGCTGACATATACTTTCTGGAGGTTCGAAATCACCACTGAGAGAATTTTTTAAGATCACTTCTGACTAGTCCTGGGACCTACTGAAAACCAAAAACAAGCATCTCTCCTGTGAAGAATAAAAAAAAATCAGAATTATTTCTCAAATTTCCAGAAAGTTTACGTGGAAAAATGTCTTATACAGAAAGAAAATGAGCCGACTCACTCTTCCAGACAGATGGATATCTTCAGCAGCAAGAGTCCGCGTCTCTTGGCAACGTGAGAGCCCACTTCTAATTGTGAAGAAGCGAGAAGAGAAGCGGACTGCGACGCTACATCTTTCCAAAACGAGAAAGACCAAATAATTACCCAAAGAAACGGATGACGAAAACCTTATTCGTGTAGCCGATTTCTCTCGGTACGCCCAGGCTTTGTTGTTGGTAATATGAACGCGCCGGATGAGGTTTATTACGCTAGGAGCGGCGGACGTGCTACTTATTGTGTAATGACACATAGCTTTCCCTATCTGTACTTTGCTTGCTCAAACCTTACTCGGGTTGAGCCCGCGGCCGAGTGCAGGTTAATGATGACATTGACAATTTCCTTGAATACGTAATAAAGAGGGTTAATTTCTTGAAGAGATACTCACATATTATGAAAACCACCAGAGTTTGTATTTTACTTATGAATGGCCGGGCTTACAAGAATATCGAAAATGTGCTCGGTTGTTTGTGTGTATTCACGGTCGATAGTGTCGTCCCGTGCAGCGCACTATGAGTCGCTAGTGGTCGAACTGACAGATCGCGGCACACCATGGAGAGTAAGTAGATGCCTCGCTATACAAGACTCTGTAGTAAGCGGTGAATGGGACCAATGGCCTCGTTGTGCAATAGGCATCCGTGACGTTTTGATACGAACTCTAGTGAGCTATATGAAACATCTACCGTTCGGCTCACTATTCGTTGCTCTCTTCACACTGTGCAACGACTGGCGGGCTACTACAGCAGTCCTGGGCGATATGGCCAGAGAATCGATGTGCGTGGAGAAGGAAAGAATGTGTTGTCTAGGAAATCTGGTCTTAGTGGCATGTCTGTCAAAGAGTTACTTTCCATGTTGGCTCGACCGGGAGCTCAAAACGTGGGACGTAGAGCATACTGGAGTATGCCGGGTGCGGTCGGATAATCACGCGACAAAAACATCGGAGCGAGGCTTTAGCATTTACTGCTTCCCTGGGCCTGTTTAGTACCTTTCCTTTGTTTCCTTTACTTTTCGTGGTTAATCTGATCTCCCAATCCTGTATCGACACATCTTTTTTTTCATAAGTTGACACGAGAGCAGTTCATACTTACAAGAGTTATGTGAGGTGGGCGGGGTGGCAGCCGCCAACCCGCGTTATTCGCTGATGTTGGAACTACGGTCACCGCGGACACTGTGGGCTGAAGACGGTTTTCACGACAATGAATAGAACGATGAATGGTGGATCAGGAAACGCTTGAAATCTCACAAGTCCCGTTGTGAGCACCTGCGATAGCGATCATATCACAAGTCTGAGCGTTCTGAATTTCCAGGTGTTATGGGGTCGGGTCCTGACCTACCTACGGCGTGCGCTGGGGCTCTGACATAAGATGGAGGTAAACTAACAGCGGCATGATATAAGGCAGTCTTTAAAATACTCAGGAAGTGCGATCGGGCAGAGAGCCCATTGCGCTGTTCATGGGTTTGGTAGTATGGGGCTGCAGGGGCCACTTGCTGATAGGTGGTTGGGTAGATAGGGCGGTGCGGCGCGTTGGTGGACATTCTAGGCAGTATGAATCCAGCTTGCTTGGAGCATGTGGCTTAATGCGTGACATTCCCATTCTTGTTATCTGAATGACCGAATTGAAACAGAACTCATTTATGTGAACCGCAGAGTTAGGATTTTCTGCGAGAAGTGAGCCAGAAAAACACGCCGTCTGTGGAAGAAATTGTGCGAGGGGGAAAGGTAGTCAGCATTAGATGCTCACTTATGATAATGTTACAGATTTAATTTGTTTGAGGCTAAAACCATAACCCTATTCACCGCTAAATTATCGAAAATTCAAAAGAATGGCAGAGTGTTTACAGAGCTATGTGTGATAAATATACCTGGAGTGCCTGCGGAATCTTAGGCCGTATGATACGCGCGATACCGGGCGGAGCAAAGCTGGTTTTAGAGGCGAAAAAAACCATCACTAGCCTTCGAAAAACACTTTTTCAGATGATTGTCACATCAGCTTACGACACACCCATAGTGATTATCCACACGAACAAAAAAGGACTAAATCCAAGGCGAATACTAATCTAATATCCTTCCCCGCCTTAGATTAGACAAGACTCCTGAGGCCAGCTCCAAAGGAGGCAGTCGCTCCTCACCTTACAACTCAATCCAATGCTTTATTTCGACTGTAGGCATTTATTAGAATTGAGCAGTTGCAAAGTAAAGGATTTCATTAAATACCTGAGCAAGTTTAATCTTCGCTTCAGCACCGCGGTCTTCATCGCGACACAGCATGTACACCTGAAAGTAAGAAAACTTGGAAAGTCCCTAGCCAAGCGTGCGGTGATAGGGAGGCATTCTTTCCCTCATTCAGTAAGGAGGGTCTAACTCCACAATTAAACACTCTAAATAGACTACGGTATTTGCTTCGTGATGGCGCTTCCAGCCCAAAAGACTGTGACTCGCCAATGGAAATATGGTGGAATGAACGGGAGAAGTGGTGTAGCCGAACGCAATTTTAGTGAATCGTTTTAGGAATTTTTCAAACTCTAGCTAGCTTTCGAGAAAAAACTATATAATCATCTTCCTAAATCAATCTCCATTTACCCCGAAATTTTGGAAGAGTAGTTCTACATATTTAGATGGTTGCAGCTAATCCACCAAAGAACGAGTGCCGTCCAAGAGCTGTGTGGTCGTTGATCGATGAGCGCTGTTCCCATACGCCGAGAATCCCTTGTGCTACACAACAACCTTACAATAACAACAACAACCTGTATACTATGTCCCTACACTAACAATGCAATAAGCAACTCAAAAACCGGGCTTTCAGATAACGGAAGCAAACAAGTAAATCCAAATAAAAGCGCACCTTGGCTTTGGCGAGATTCAATCCTCTCACAGTTTGTAGACCGATTCCACTATTTGCACCAGTCACCACCGCTACAAGGCCTTTTGCTGACACTTGCTCAAATTTGTCATCAAAATGTGCACCTTTGAAGTACCTCCTGCAAAAGGACTCCGCTACAATTGAAAAGTTGTTTGTCCGTAACTGAATTCGTAATATCTGGATTCGTAATATCTTAAGCCGTAAGACTGCGACTGGAGCGACTGGCTCAAGCGATTCCCGTGATTGGCGCGATTAATCGCGAATCGCTTGTGCGAGTCGCTCCAAACGCAGAGTCTGACACAGACCTCACTCGAAAATTGGGTAAGTTTTCGATGGGTGGGCATGGGGTAAAATGTACCGAGAGCTCATGAGCCAAGTCCAGCTGTGTGAACGGTAGGACTACGACAATTCATAACTCGATTTTAGAACATCCCAGAGGTGTGAAGATAAGCACAGCGGAAGGTTCGAGTGAGGATATTTCCAGCCGGGTGGATTCTGACTCCAAGTATTCAACTGCTTCAAGACGTCCTAGAGACTCGAAAAAGCATGGAAACAGGAGTAAAAGGTAGAAATATTCAAATAATTGGATACTCGGGATAACTTTGATGACAGATTACTGACACAATGTTTGATCTTGTAGTCACTTATTTGCTTGTGATAGACCATATTGCCACACACCTCAGAAGATAAAATGCCGTACTGGCAAAGACGAATATCAATATGTAGTTGACCAAGCGATCTGGCTCTTCAGGGCCGACGTCCATTTCATCCATGGTGAATTTTTTTCTAAAAAGGTAAAAGCATTAAGAGAATTCTAAATCGCTAGAGACACTCAATCTGTGACATGGCAAAAGCAGAACACACATCAAATGCTGTCATATGAAGCACTGGAAACATCGAAGAGCACTCTTTGGATAACCTATTTTGCGGATGGAAATCACTTTGCCGTATCGGATAAATGGTTGATAACGAGATACTATGGATGGTGTTTCCCAAATCAATCAAGCTGGAGGAGGTCTCCGCTTTCATAAAGAACAGTGTTAGAACTTAACAGCATACGACGTGTGGACTTCAATGGGGACGCGGTTCATCCGAAGTCTTGGTGATTCTGCGTTTGTTTGTTCTTATAGACACTCTCGCATGCATACTGTATTCACGTCTTGTTTTTTCTCTTCAAGGCTTAGTCCTAAGAGGAGCAGAGGTATGGGTTTTGCTTGTCTGGACTCTCACGCAATGGTTGACCCACAGCCCGTAAACCCGTGTGGACACTACTTGGCCAAACGCGCATTTTGCTTGAGATTAGCGGTTTTCAGGCCCAGTTTACGGGTATTTACTCTGTCACGATTTGTATAGGCCCGCTCTATTATCGGATGAGCGGTAGAAATCCAGTTTACGGGACATCTTTAGTTCTTTTTTAGTCTAGGGGTATCTTTGATGCTATCTCACTCTAAGGATACAGATTAAAGTATGCAGGTTCCGTTTGATGAGTGTTTGGTAGGACGTATGGATCGTTACGCTCCACACATCCTGCTCACATCCTATCCAATTTTCTGCACCAGCTCGTCCAGACTGGAGTTTCTCCACCCTTAGGTCGAGGCAAGGATCTCAATGGAGATATCACAGACAAAATCAAAGACCCAAGATCAGCACTTCCCCTGGCTCAAGACCGCTTCCTTGGACCATTATGGACCGAATTGTGGAAGCACCTTAGATTTCTTGAATACACACCGTACTCTCAGAGAACTTTTAAATGATCGATTATGTCACAAGCGCTCCAATTCCTATTTTAAGTATTGAAGAACACAGTGGAGTTCCCCTCCACAAAGCTCTATCTTCACCCTTCGTATAACATTGGGGAGATTAATAGTCGAAATGCTTGCGAAATCGAAGCTAGATTTGACACAATCCATAACCGCCCTCGGGAAAAGATGCTTCTCTTAGTTGAGGTGCACGCGAGGCGCGGCGCTCTGTTCGTCTCCTCCTGCAACGCTTAGTCCTCGATAGCGCGTATTTTGGAACTGTCACGCTATGGCTCAGGGGCAGCAACTGCCCCTGAGACTCAGCCTTTGGATGAGCAGACGAACAGAGCGCCGCGCCGCCGCGCAGTGGGGCTCCTCACTAAAGGAGAGCACCCTGAAAATTGCCACCAGACTAAGTCCAGATGGTGGTGGAGTTTCATGAGAATGTGAGTATAGATTCCGCTAGCCCTCGCTCATCCAAATTTTGTCAATGGAGATTATGTTCATGCAATTATAGAGAAAGTGTCTTAGTCACCAAACGCCAGGAATGGAACCATGGGATTCACCAGTCAGTAAATCAATGAACCACCAAGAATGGAGTGGAAACCGACTAACAAACCAGCCAAGAAAACTTCACTTGAGAAAAGGAGCCGTGTAAGCAACCTTGGGCGAAGGCAGGCCAAGAAGACAACAAGTGACGCCGACAGCGCTAGTGATCAAACACCAGAACCGAAAACATCCCCGCCCAAACAACATCAACAACATTTCATAAGAATGCTGAGTTATGGTGGAACTTTGACCCATTTGGAATTGGACCCGCATCTCTAGTTATCGGGGCTATTGTGTTACCGATAACGTTGATTAATTGCGGTGTTAAAATAGCAGTTTATCAATAACAAAACAAGTCAAAAACACCAATAATGTTAAGTTTGTCTTACGCTGCCAACCTGTGAAACCCTTGCGAGAATAAATTGAACTTAATAAGAAGTTAGGATTTTGGTCTAGCACGTATTAAAGCGCGACCGACATTCATAGAATGATGTGCCGAACAAGCTGCTTGCTTGTCAACAACACCAACCGAGGGGCAGTTTGGCACGCTGACTAAACCTCACAGCGCAAATCGATTGGAAACAACACATAGAGTAAACATCTCATTCGGAAGAGGAAAACACTGTTAGCCAGATCTATCTTTAGCACACAAGCTGAATGGATCCCTCCATTGAGCTTATCAGAATGGATTAAGTACACTGAAAGACTAAAGGTGCACTGAAAGACTTTCACAGTTCTCAACGGAGTAGGAGTTCACTCAGACAGTGAACGCCTGGGTACAAGAAAGAACCTCCTGCAGAAGATAGTGGAAATGGAGTGTGAATATTTGAGTTCTTGCTGAATGAATTTTGAACTTCTGTGCCCTATTTAATATTATTTTTTCTTGGGACACTCTTTAGTTCCAGAAAAACACGTCAAATAAATACTCTTTAGAAGCTACATTGCTTTAAAAACATTCGCGGTGTCCTAAACCAGAAGAAACTGCGATTAACTGCGCTCTATCACTTGGATCGGACTTTGTCCCTGGTTATCTACGGAGGATCGGATATCGCTTTAGTCACTGAGTCTAGAGCCAGTCAGATGTTCGTGCCCGAATTATACGGGCATTTTTGGATAGTTAACGTTGGAACGGCAGCGGGCTGGTCTAGGGAAGCGGATGAGAACGGTTCTCGCCGTCGGAACGCAACCGCGCGGATAAACTGTGACGAAGAAGCCTTACCCGCGGCGGTAAATTCTCTTCACGGTTGGCACGCCCACCGATGCTCCCTTCTCGCCGTCACTTTAGCCCAGACTCTAGCTGCTTTTGTAGAGAGGCATAGCAGAGCTTTCACACTGATGACTTCAGTAGCGATGTAGTAGCAGTAGGCCCATACTTGACTATCAGCAGCGAACAGGGGTTACTCTTTCAGGGAATTGAAGGACGGTTTCCCGCGTCGCGTCTCATTATCAACTTACAGGCGCGATCGTCTAACAATAGGAAGCGTCGTAATTGGCTGCCAGGTGATGAGGACGGTTAACCGAATTTTCCGCTATCCACCAGCTGGCTCCACCAAGATCCTATGCAATCCAACTCGCAGCTGCGTGATCATACGCACGGAAAGCGGTGGGCGCAGACGAGAACTGAGCAAGCAGCGAATGGTGCGAAAATCCAGACTGCAAGATTTTGGCTTACAAAGCAAAAGTGCGCATCCCTTTGACACATATCTTCTATTTCCCGTAAACCAGAGCGATGTTGAATGCAGACAAACCTAGTGTGTGACGGCCTCGATAGAATCTTAATTTTCCTGCCAATGGAAAGCTGCCGGTTGCAGTTGTATTCTACCAGTTTTCACCGAATTCAACTATCACCTACCATATATCACCTATCAAGTGAACTACGAAGCAGTTTGTAAAATAACCAATCCTGCAGACTGGACTTTAGAACAGGAAGGGACGCACTCCAAGTTGATGATGATTACTACGCACCGGAGTCCCTTCTCCTAAGGCTACAATTAGTCGTGAGACGAGATTTCGCAATGCTGATACCATGTAAAGTGCTACAACCCCCATCACGAGCACATACGAATCCTCCAATGGAGCGCCCGAACGCAGAAAAAACCATCACACCATCCCTGGCTGTGTCGCGAGAAACCCAATGCCTGAAGCTTGACATTTTGACGAGTGAGAATTATAGCCGCCAATGAGTCATGTGTCTCCGCATTTGCCGCGCGGTGGCCTTCCTGATTACATCATCTCCGGGGCCAAATGGAGTGGAGAGGGAGTTTTGGTAGCTCTCGAGTTCCCTTCAAATTGAGGTTGGGCCAGGCCAGAATCGTACTATGATCCGCTCGTTGTGTAATTTGGTGTGTATTAACATACATACCCCCCCCCCCACTTCAGAAAACGAGTAAATCTGGTTAGTAGTGGTTCATAGTGATAGCTGATTTTTGGTAAATGATAGTTGTAATTAGTGACAACTGATAGAATACAACTGCAACAGGCTAATCATTTCATTGGCAGAAAACATTTACATTTTGTGGAGGCCGTCGTCACTTGTGGTGTATGGTCTGCACCCGACGCTCTTCTCGTTTTTTGAAAGGGAGGGGCAACCTGTGGTTTCCCTAACTGTCTTCCCCCTCCATGCAGATATTCGTTCACACTATTCGCGGTTTTCATTCAAGATACCGCGATTGCGACACAAAGAAAAGAATTATCATGACCCCTGATTTGAGTATGAAGGAATCGCACTTTTTTGTGAACATCAACTTGCTGGGTGGAAACTTTTCCCGAACATTACTACTTATGGCTTCCTCTGCAAATCAAGACCCTGTGAAAGATTAGATAACGTCACAGAATTTGTTAAAGAAAAAATATGGAATACATAGCCCCTTACCTACGTCACATTTCTGTCAGGAGGAAAGACGCGATCAGCTGGGCATTGGAATAAGTGGAACCTGTCAAGGGATTCCCATGAAATCTCGTGGTTGTTGCAGTCGGCTGGCAGTTCCATCCTAGGTTTGACTCGATCAGTTTGCGAGCATGGTGAAATAATTGTCATCAAAATGACAAAATAGCGTACTATTCTTGAGCTCAACGAAATCATTTTCCGATCTTGTCAAGCATTAATGGCCCCTTTCATGAACCATTTAATCATGACAGACCACGTTTCTCTCATAAATAATTTATTCAGAAATTAATAAAACTATAAGCTTTGCATTACCCGAGCTGGAATACAGTCTTACAGCTACAGTACATACATATAAAATATACAAAATACTGGGCAAAAATCGCCAGAGAAAGAAAATAAAAGGCGGGTCTTTACTGGTTTGTGTATTGAGCATCTGTGAAGCACTACTCATCAGCAACACCACACTGTTCCAAACTGTAGTTGTACAAATCGTCACAGGCTTGATCATTTAGAGCCAATGGATTTTCGGAAGCCAATTTGCAATCTCTGGAAATGAAAGGGATTAGAAGAGCTTGTTTTCGTTTAAACAGTTATAAATTGCCAGACTTACGCGAAAAACTTTCCGCTGACACCATCAACTTTCTTGCTAAGAGCTAAATAAAGTGTAGTCTGAGCACCGTCGCGATCTGTCTTGAGAAAGAACCATCTGAAGGGATTTAATCATTGATCAAGCGGTTTGAATCAGTCAAACAAATCACTACAAAAAAGATAAAGGCGACACCTTTATGAACCCCTTTTCAGTGAAGCACCATGCACTCGATGGCTATGCACAATTGTAGTGGCATTTCAAGGCGTTTTTGCCTATCACTAGCCAGAGTCCTCCGATACTCAGGCCAGTTCATTTATTGATGAAAGCCCGAGTTCTCTACGCATTCAGAAAAAGTGAACCAGAGAGATGTGGTCAGATGTAGGACCACGCCGTCCCAGCAACCTGCTGTCACGTTATTCCTCAAATGGTCAACCGAGTCACCAGGTAATCGATCAAATTGAAAAATGGAAGGCCTTTTGGTGTCTAGACGACATTCGATTCAACATTTGCACTTCTGCCCCAGAATCTACCACAACTGAGAGAAGGAGTGGCTAAATAAGTGAAGGTGAGAGATGAATTTCAAGGCGCTTAGTTCTATAAACTCAACAAGCTTTCGCGGGTACACTACCGTATTTGTCCATTGTAACTTTTTCGTTACAAGATTTCCACTATTTTGAATAAGCAGACGGCAAAATGTAGATGGCCAGGAGGCCCAAACAACATTCCATTGAGTTCAGATTCTGTTGTGAAATGAAGCAGCGAATGATCAGCAGTACTCCTATTCTCCGTAAAAGGGTTAGTTACCCAAATCGAGGTAGGAGCTTGGTTGGCTCAAACAGGCGGCTCAAACACCTTTCGTGGATTGTGCGAGTTGCTCCAAATATCCCGCCACTCACTATTAAGGAGGCTCAACCAGTGTAAAAATGAGAAATTCGAATGAGTAAGGAGAAACGTACCTGAACGGCGCGGTTATTTCACGGATAGGGGTTTTGAGGAGCGGTGTATATCGCGACAAATTACTATTCACCACACCAGGATGCAACGCATTCACAGTGACGTGGTGGATGCCGAGCTTGTGAAGATGTCGGGTTAACCCTCGAGCATGCATCACCTCAAAACAGACGCTGCACAACTACACAAGAACAAAATTTTCACCCTGTTATGGAGCAGAAAGCCCTGAATAAACTTACATTTGCAAGCTTGCTGCGATTGTATGGCTCGAAGATGCCGAATTTCTTCTTGTCATCGATGGTGGCCAAGTCCAGCGCTTTGCTTTTGCGATGAAGATCCGAGGAGACATTGATGATCCGTGCTTTCGGAGCCTTTTCCATTGCAGGCAGAAGTAGATGAGTTAGGAGAAAATGACCTGCAAAAGACTTAAATGTGGAGTAGAATCCACACCCCAATCCATGCTCATTCATAATAAGGGTGCATCCTTGTAAGAAATAAAATTTTCTCTGAATTGGAAAGGACATTAATTAAAGTTGATATAGAATAGGGCGAAATTGTGTAACGGCAAGTGACGTCCCTTGGTGCGGGGATCGAATCCCGGGCCGTACGTCGTTCGAGCCAACTAATCCCTTCATTCCTCCCTTAATTGGTGGAATATATTCGAAAGATAGTGAGAAGCAACGAAATTCTGAAGCTGATGAAAAACTGATTTTTTTCGATTTTGCGAGAAGGGTACTCCGTCTGGAAAATGTACTCTTTACTCCTGTTTCCTTTTCTCTCGCTGAACTACCAGCCATCTGACTGTTCTCAGATTTAGTGCTTCTGCTTGGCCCTGTATAAAGGTCTGGTGGTGTTCTTCGTATCCTTATGGTTCTCTTTTAAACCAATATGTACTGCAATGACACGTTAAGAAATTTTCATTGTCTTGCATCTTCTATAACTTTTCCTTCTAGAGCTATAGCATGGCTGCCTTTGTTTGTTTCTTCAAAGGAAGCGATTACGATAAAAAGGGCCGCATCGGGGAGCATATGCGCCACACGAAGCAGTTACTTGGCTGCCAAGGAAGCGAAGTGTGGCGCTTTCACGACGAAAGGTGCCCTGGTTGCTGAGCAGGACTTCCGAAGCACTCCGCCCCAAAAGCGTTACGCCCACTAGTTCAGTTGATGACTTGGACGAGCTGTTTGCTGTTGGCTTTTCATTTTGGATGATCATTTCCCTTCTAGCGGCTGTATCTTCCAACTTGCCCATGTATGCCTTATCAATCAAAACACTATGCTTGTTGGCATGATGGCGGCTATCGGGGTTAACACGTCCGAACAACTTCTTTCTTTGTCGCCGCTCATCCATGGTCGAAAATGAAAGGGCAATCAAAGGGGTACTATTTTGCTTATTTTGACGGATTTCTTTGCTTTTTCGCCATTGGCGTACTATTGAGCACCTCCCACGTCCCCTCTAAACCCTCCAGAATCTATCGTAATCGCTGCCTTCAAGCTCAACTGTAGGATAGGGCCGGAGGTGCGTGAAAAAAAATACCATAGAAGGTTTCTTCTCAGTACCATGTTCAAGCGTTGAGAAAACTAATCCTTGTAGACGTAGAATGTCTTCTTCTCGAAAATTTCATAAAAGACTAAAGCAAAAAGTAGTTCGAACGATTCTACTGACACTTCAATGGTCTTCTATAATCCTATCACATTCCAGCGCCTCAGCAACCTACAATCGGCACTATAAGCGATGAAAGAACGAACTGCGCAACTTTTTTGAATACTCTGCGGACAGTTTTCAGAGACATTTCTGCAATCAGAGATCGCTTCGTGTGTCGCCGTATGACGTCAACTGGGGGCCGGCCCCTCCTATGAGTTGATCAACGTTGACATGCGCGGCACTCAACAGATCTCTTGACGTGACACCATGTTTTTTACCTTACTGTTACGTTTTTGAAGGAATCAATAAAATTGATTTTTTATTCACTCACTTTTCTGATCGATTTTTAGGTTTTTTTTTATGTGGTATGCATGAACATTGCCACGGTTCTCAACATTCAGGCTCTTATTCATGGAGAACTTTCAGGGGCACTTTTGACTAAGAAGGATCAGTTCAGAGTTAATACTCGACTCATCACAAGTATAAATTGGATCCACCCGAACCTCAAACCTCGTGCCAATTTTGCAGCTAAGAGATGAAAAATTAAGGGCCTAATGGCTACCTGGACCAAACGGCTGTGGCTCCCTCATGTGACAAATCGCAAATGCTAAGGATCAGCAAAATTCTAAAGAGTGACGCAAGCGGGGACCTATTATACCACTAAAGTTACAAATATAAACACAAATAAATAAATAATAAGTAAATAAATAAATAAATGAAAATACCACCATTCTCCTCTATCAACCACAATAACGATGAGGGGCTTCTTACACTATTCCCAGGTATTTTTTGCTACTTTTTACCTTACTGTCATTTGTAGTTTCATTCTTAGCGTCACAGCACATAGCTAGGCTACCTAGAAACCTAATGACTTCATTTGGAGGGAGCGCTGCCAATCCACTATTCGACTCGATCGATCAAAATCACAGTGAACAAATATTCGAGCAAAATCCAAGGAATCACTGCTATGCAGCAATTATTTTACTATTCCGTGTAGAGAATTTTCAGAGATCACAAGGGCACTAATTCATAAGCAAAACACCTTCCTCCCCTCCCCCCGCCCCACGAGGCTTCGCGAATGAGGCAAAGAAATTAGCCCGTACTTAGCATTCTATTATAACATTTGCCTAGAGCTGCGGCCAAAAGCAGTAGTGCACTGAATAAAACGAACATCTGAGCGTTCTTTTAGCCCATTTCTCTATCCTCTCTTCTCTACTTCACTACGTGTTTACCCCTTAGCTCTTTCGCGGATTCCCAAATTCGATGCAGTGTCGGCAGTAGTCCAGCAAAAGGAAGTTTTAAATACCACAACAATTAGGTGTTCCCGGCTTTGTTGTTCGCTTTTTAAAATCGATAAAAAGCAGGGACATAACAATCTTAATTGCCAGCTCTTCGGTACCTTTTATGGTCCTGTTGCGATATTAAGTGCACCAGATGCCGCAGATTCCACAATGATAATTTTCGATGCCTTCACACCAATTCGTCAGCTAATCATAAGCATAAGCCTTGCAAAAACGTCTGCCATTCAATTACCTCGCCTTGCTAGATAACAATTACCTTCTCATTGAGATACAATTTCACGCAATCAAGCTCTTCTCAAAATCTCCTAATGAGTTCCCTATAGGGTTAACGCTTAAAGAATCTCCTAGAAATCTCAGTCATAAATCTGAAGACCATCCCATGCTTTTACCTTAAACTTATTCGCATTCCACGACCCTGAGAGGGGAGCAAGGAATTTTGCTGGATTAGTCCAGCCATTTACCATACCTCTAAATTCTTTTCCAATTTGAAGGCACCCCTCCTTTTCAGTGGCACAACTGAAGGATTTTAAAACTGTGTTGTAAAAGACAAATACCGTCTTTCAACCGGGTAGCGCCTAAATTTGATGTTTTTCACTACTTTTTTAAAGTCAACAGATTTTCAGTATCTCTACGATTTTTCTTTTACGTGTTGCTTCATTACGCGGTGCTGTTTGAGAATCTTCAAGCTCGCTATACTTTTCTGCTTTACCTCAAGGGTAAGAAAAGCTTCCCATCTCGATAGGGCAGTATCAACGGTCCCTTTAAACTATTCTGACGGAGGAGGGTGCGATTTTACGAGGCAGGAGTCATATTTGAGGTTGACCAGGGTCAACCATCTCTCGATAAGTGTGGGTAGGAGGTATGACGTTCTATGGGGGGAACTCCATGGCAGAAGGTATTAGCAGAGGCCAATGAACTATGGCCGTCTCCAGACGTGGCGGTACCACGTCTGGAGACGGCTGTCAGCGCTTTGTTAGCGGTTCACAAGGTCATAGCACCCATGTCTTTACGGAGAAGCTGTTTTTTAGAGAGTGAGCTTGCAAAAAATTTAGCAAAACTTCTGCAAATTGACCACACTAGGCTAAACGCGGATAATTTGCACGAGAACATATTTACCTGGGCTATAAATATTAAGTGCAGAAAGCAAGGAAGCGCTCCACTCAGCCTACTCTACGCTGAAGAGAAGCCAACATAGCGATCCGCAAAAAGACTATTTGCCTCAAATGAGGAAATCAGAGCAGCAGGGCTTAGTTTACCTAGTGTATCTTAGGACAAATAGTATTGCACGACCCTTGCTGGAGTAGACGTGGCTCATGGTTTTGCAGTACTTCGGGACTGAAGACAGGATGAAGCCGTAGGAGGGACGGGGGGGAAGTAGGAGAGTGCCAGCGCAGTATCCTAACAGAAACGCGAAAGCAGTTCTTGAGAACATAAATTAGGATTCATGTAGAGAAGGGGCTTACAAATTAATGAAGTATTCCGAAAAAAAGCGCGGCAAGCGCTCCAAAATTTCCAATATACGTCATCCTTTTTGGGAAGGAATGTGCTGCCGTGCCGTCTCCCTAATTCCAATTAAGGTGGAGCGAAGCGAAGGGCAAAAGGTCAACCAAACATCGCCACTGCTCAAACGCCCCGTGTCAGATCGGGTCGATACAACACGTTTCGCTGATGTCACCACCTTCGCTGATCTATGACTTCCGTTTCCCTTTCACATTTTTGGCCCCTTTAAATTCTTGATTCTTCAGAAGTAAAGAGAAGTAATTTAAGATCTAATAAAAGAAAGAACCATAAATAGAAGCACATAGATTGAATCATAAATTATTAAAATCTCTATTAAACCAATCAAATTAATGTGAAGTGCAAATTTTCATGACGCAAAATAGCAAAATCACATAGAAGAAACTTACCGAGGTGATTACTTTGCCAAGTCATTTCATGACCATCAACCGTTTTCTCGTATTTCGGATAGAACATCACTCCCGCGTTGTTTATGAGTATGTCGACCTTATCCTCTTCTAAATCGAGCTTATTCTCCTTTACTTCACATAGCCAATCTTGACGTTGAACACATATGAAACTTGCAAACGTTCATGTTCCAATAAGTGCCAGCTACGCAAAAAGCGAATTATTTATCGAGCTGGCCATAGCTGAGCCGCAGCTTCCCTCCCACTTTCTCCCGCTAAGGCACTGAATTTTCACTAACCTTTCAAAATCTCCTTCGCACATTCTCTTACGCTGCTGAAGTCTGCAAGATCGCACCGGACATTGATCAGACGTGTAGCATCGCAACCCATCTGAAAATCAGTAGGTCGACCTATTCACATGTTTTTTGCTTCGTGCTGGTGTTTATCGTTGCAGAAAACGGCAACAACAACGCCACCACGCTTCTCACACTCATAATCCAAAACTGCTACTCGTCATAGTAACTCTTACAGCAACTAGTTGTAGGGGTCGCTTCGAGGCCTCTGGGGAAACCTCCCACATCAGATGACATGCATTTGCCATCCTTACAAGATTGAACTTTTTATACAAGGCTTACGTTTCGGCTTATAACAAGTACATATGCTTTTGACCATTTCAGGCTCTGACGAAGGCGAAGAAGCCGAAACGTAAGCCTTGTATAAAAAGTTCAATCTTGAAAGGCTTGAAGAATCATTCCTACTGAACTAACCATGCCAAGATTGCAAGAAGGTCGAACATGGACTATCGTAATAACTCAGTATCCATACATTTAGCGCATCTTACCTAGGGCAGTCACACCCTACGACCTGGCTCATCTCTAATCACCCCATAACTAATGGGCCTCATTAGAAAGAGCTGACTAAGTCATAACCTACCCATTCTTTCTTACTGTCTGGCCCCCAAAATTCCTGATTTTACTACTCTCTCCTTGTGTATATTTTTGATTACCACTGACTTCAGCACTGTGAAAGAGTCGCTCCTTGTTCTTTTTGGTCGCATGTGAGAAATAAAGATCATTCTTCGAAATAACAGTACAATTTAGGTTGCTAGTCCATAACCAACAGAAATGTGCCCCTCGGGAAGGGCATCATCATCGTTTCCAGTCTACATACCAGATCCAATATTTCACAATGTAAAGCCGATTCCTCCGCTAGATGTAAGCTCTTTCGCGCATTTCTTCCGCCGGAAAGAGCTTCTGAATAATCACAAGTTATTACGATGAGATGTCAAGGTCTTTGGCTTGAAGTTACAGATATGATATAACAAAAAAGGATTAGGCAAGCCAAGCACAAAGAATTACTTATTTCATTTTGTATGTCCGTCTTGCTTTGAACCATTTCGAAGCACGCCCCTACCAGGGTAGGCAATCAAGTTTCCACAGAACATAGAATTAAGATCCAGATCTAAGGTTCCACAAGCAGCCAGGAGCGTGCCTTCAAACGTCAACTACACCCTCTGGCTCGGTGGAACCCACCATATCCTGGTAATTCCACGCATTAAATTGTGACAAACTCCGAATAACGTCCAGGCATTAGTTGTTGCCACTTTTCGTAGCCGCTGATTTGTTTTTACATTTGTGGTCAATGATTTCCATCTTCAGCAACGTATCAGATTAGGGAATATGAAGACTGCTGAATCCCATTTCTGACTCAATTAAGGTTTTATACTTCCGATACTTTCACATGTCATATATTGCTGCCCAGAATAGTGTGCCTTAAAGATCGTAGGCCTCACCAGAAATACCCTTATAATATTGTAGAATTAAGCCGTTATTCCATTCAAGATTTGAAGTAAAAAAAATCTGGGCTAAGTGCAAACAGTCGACAAATATCCAATCGAGCCATATTTTTCCAGTGCAAACAATTTCAGGCTCCTCCTCGCCCGAGCCGGAATGGCGCTTATCGACAGCCGAACTGCTGTTCAGTGATACCCAGCTGTCCCCGCGCGGCCTTTCGGACGAGGTTCGGCGTTGCTCTTGTTCTATGTATATCCATTTCAATTGGTTCATCGTTAGCACATAGCGGAGCTCAAGCTTATGATGATTTCGATACCTATCTCTTGACTTTACGAGATTCGCACAATGTCGACCCATATGATATTTAAGAAAGAAATTCACTTGAAATCCCATGTAATTACTAAATATGAGCTTATACGTGTTTTTCAATTGGGTTTAATTGCTATAAATAAATCTACCTGTGCCAATTTGATCTTCGCTTCTGCCCCGCGCTCTTCATTGCGACACAGCATGTAAACCTAAAACAAGAGTATTAGTATTATTGTAAAGATGTTTGCGCCGATTTTGTTTCAGTAATGATTGGCGGAGCGATTTCGTTCCAATTTTTTTTTATTTTTGGCGAGAAAGGGTGTATTTCAATCATTCGAGGTCATCAAACTTCATTGAAAGAAGAAGGGCGCGGCGATGATTGCAGTATTGAGCCTAGTGTCAGTATGTCAGTACGAACGAGGAACTTATTGAAATCTTTGTTGACTGTTACGCTAGTACAATCTGTAGCGCATGTAGAGCTACACATCTGGGAGACATTTTTGATCCAATCTCCAGGGGCGGTATTCAATCCTTCCCCCAGGGGGATATATCCCCCTCCTCTGATTCAATCCTCTGGGGGGACAAAAAAGGGTTGCGTCATAGGACCTAGCATACCTCTGTGTTTCTACCTGCCAGACAGTTACTACCCTCCACTGATGAAGCACTCTTTTCCCTGAG